ACTCAAGGTGTGACCTCACCAGTGCTGACTACAGAGGGACAATCACTTCCCCAGGACTGCTGGCCACACAATTCTTGTGGCTTCCTTCCACAGACTCATTCTACCTGTTTCTGTAGTTGACACAGGAAAGCACAGGAATGCAATGGACCTGATGACTGCACTTCAAACTGAACTAATAACTTATAGGTTGTCTGGAAAGGGGAATAAAGATTGACTATATTTTAGTGATTTAGATGATTTACAATTACTCAATACCCTAAGACATTATAGCTAAGAATGAATCTCTGTACTGCTAGCTTTTTAAAACCTGATGTTTTATGATTCTAGGCAGCCTGTAGGTCCCAAATCCAGTGTTCACATCACCAGAGTTTTGATATTATCACATCTGTATACGTTACCTAGTCCCAAGCTCACATTTTTTTCTACACACAACGATATAACTCCTCTAATTGGACAAATTTATACCACTGAAAGATGACTCATATGCCAATAGCTTGTTTCCCTGTGTCTGCTGTTTGCATCCACCAGGGAACTTGGCCCACCATAGGTATTTTTGTAGAGTCACACATCTCTTATCTGCTGTTACAATTTTCAAGCACAGCTGGTAATATAGGAACTGTCTCATATATATTAGGAGTTGACAGTAGGCTGAAAAATGTGACAACTGCTAAAAACATGATTTAATATTTAAAAATTAATAAATAATAATCTTATACTATTCGTGCCAATCTTGCAGCTTATGAATTTCTGGGACTGATGATTTTACCAAGAGCAGGCTGATTAAAACACCATGGAGCTGGTGCATGAACAGTCTCAGTAACAAACCCATGTGAATGGAATTTATTTCCCTCCTGGATAGATGAAGCTTGTTGATTGAGATAATACTGTTTTACTTTTGGTTTGGGGAGGTGGAAAAGAGTTTTGGGAGAGGACTGTCTTTCCAGTTTTAGGTTTGAATTGGTGCCTGTAAACATGCAGTCACATGGCCACCCTATAGTGTATGACTTCTTCAGCTTGACTGGGCTGTGAATACAACAGAGGCTACAAAACCTAATAGTCTCTCCTGATGATTTTTAGCTCTGTATTTATTCCAAAGGGAGACAAATTCTTTTGCTCCTTAAATATTATAGTTAAATGTGCCTAGCTGGAATTGTTACACAGATAGCCTGACTCCTGAGTCCCACATGCACACCTACCAACCTCATAGTCTGTAAAGCACTGAAATCATACAGAAGCATGGTTTTGAAAGCTGGGCAGGCATAGATGCTCTAAGAATGAAGCACCAAACATTCTGACACTTCTTCTCAAGACTGCCTACTCAGGAAAGAATCCAAGACTGGTGATCCGAGTTTTCTTTTATAGAGCATTTCACACAGATCTGAATCTGGGATTCCACTCTTTTCCCCCTTTCACCCTCATACCAGGATTATGTATTACCTAACTGAAACAACAAGACATTCTCTTCTTCCCTAAAACACTGGTCATGGCTTCCTGCTTATGAGCCACGCACACTCCTTGAGCCAGCTGAAAGAGTGTTATGGATGCAGACAGAAATGGACGCTACTCCCATTTTTGCCTTTCTCTTTAATGAGGTGCTCACCAAGTAGAAGGTACAAAGCCCTTTCCTACTGGCCTGGAAAATGCTCAGCCTCAAAGTGTAATCTTTTTATATGCAATTCAAATCTTTATCTAAAAATTAATTTAAAAGTCAAATGATGTCCCCATGCCCTCAGGCTCCTGTCAATCGTGTCAGCTGTATCTCTGAAGGACTCTCTGATATGGTAGCAAGCCATAGCACAGCTTATAATTTCCCCTACTGTTTTTTACTACGCATGCACCAGAGCTTTTAAATCACAAAGAAAATAGGAACTATGACAAACATGTTTACTCTTTCATTACATAATGACACTCAATTCAAATGCCTAGAAATCACTGCAAACTGCTTAATTACACAGGAAATTTAAAAACTGGAGCTGTCATAAAAGGAATTTTTGAAGTAATGCTTTATTTTGGGAGTGCTGTCATCAGCAGTGCACATGGACTGAAAAGACACACAAAGCAGAATAGTTTCTGTGTACATAATGTACACCTAGGTATTGAGCAGTTTATTGCTGATCTGTAAATAGAGTAAGATCCTTGGGAATCTAACTGAGGGATTTTAGGATACAAACTCTATGCATTCATCTCTGCAGAAGCCTATAAATCGACCAAAATTGAAATGTACAGTTTTAAAATAGCTATGACTTTATATAAACCTCAGACTGCGGGAGGAACAGAGCTGAAAGGTGTAATTTGTTTAGCTAAATCAGCCAAGACGAGAGAAATGTTCAAATTTACTCTAGGTGTGTCTAGACAGAGATACTTTTTTTTTGTGTGTGTCCAAGTCCTTTATACACTTCTGTGTATTTCAGATCTACTTCTTAAACAAATACTTGGCTTGCATTTGTCTTAAATTGTTTTAGATTAAGGGTGATTTAAACTGAGGTGCCATCCACTTAGAAGATACAGTAACCTGTAACACACAGACTGGACCATTCATACAGAGCTCACTTTTCTCCTGCACTTATCCAGGCTTAAAGCACCCTCACTGTGTTTGTGACAGCCTACAAGATTCTATTCAAGCAAACTCAACCTGTCCAATGTCTCCTTGACAAAAACAGGATTCTGGTACGTTTTGTGACGCTATATAGTGTATTATTATGAAACCTATTCCAGTGAAGTCCCTGGGATATAAAAATGCCCAGAGAAGTCTCAGTATGTTTCTTAAAAATGACAGACCTCTAAGATCTTTAAAAGAGAAAGCAACAGAGAGTAGGAAAAGAAGGCAAAAAGTACCCAGTAGGACAGCAAAACAAAAAGGCTGTTTCAATATCAAACCTATCCATGTCTATCACGCAAAGATTTAGCTGCATTCTCATATTCTTACCCTACCAACACCAGTGGAAATACAAACTGGTGATTACCCAAGGGCACTACCATTTCCCAGCAAAACTGCTATTGCATTTATTCAGTCTTTTGGATATACTCCATGGAGTTTGCAAAATTTTACATTTTATTGCCACCAAGGTCACAGTAACATGGGCTATCTTTTGCAATCCATCAGAAGAATCTGAAAGACAACACAGATCATGCAGAGAGTATTGCAGTGTTAACCCACAGAGCCACCATTCACCATTTGCTGTGGCTTTATGGCAAAGAACCTTGAGAACAGTCTTCCAAATCATGCTTGCACACTGAAGCATGAAGAAGTCACATTATTTGCAATGAAAGAACATAGTACATACAGACTTGGCAGATTCCTGACCCCTACAGTTTTTGACAGTCTCCCAAATTTAAGACTGAGAATGTCAGACTGACCCTGCATCTGGCAAGAAAAATAGAAGTCCTGGTTTTATCAAACTATGGTTAAAATCAGATTCATTTCCATAAGAAAAAAAAATACTCATTTTGTAGTATTAATGTAATATTTGCATTCATAGATGTAGAAATTTAATTTATTCTGTGGATTTGAAGATTCAGAAAAGCTCATACACTATTACAAGAAAAAAATTAAACTGGTGGCGTTTGTATATACAGTATTTCTTATCTGTCACAATACTTAAAATTAAATGAGAGGAAAAAATTTTGAGCATGTAATTAAGTTCTACATTCATTTTTTGGCCTGCATCACTCTTACTGCAAGTGCTGAAATGAAGCTTTTGACCCTGCTATTTGAATTAGAAAAACTATCAGCAGCTTAATACTATTGCGAATATGTCAGCATATGGGCTAAGACTGAATCTTCAAAAGTTTGCAATTGAAAGTTTAAGTGATATTCCTAAAATCCTCCTTCTTTTTTTTCTCTAATTTTCTGACTTCATTTCTGAGTCAGAGACAGAGAGGGTGGAGGATAACTCTACCCAGTCCACTTGACCAGGCAAGAAGCCCAAGAAAAATGATTTTTCCACATAACATTAATAAGTTGTAAAATCCCAAAGTTATTTTCCAAGACTTCAATTAGTATTTGAACTTATTGTATAAATTACATAGCTGTTTTTCAAGGCCCTTATAGCACTGCATCTCCTAGTAAACTGTACTGATTTTGGGGTTTAGGCCACCCAGTATATATTTTTCTTTCACATTTTCTGTCTGCATATCCTTTGGCTTCACCACAAGTGTTACAAAATGCTATAGTTTCTACATGGAGATCACCCAGGTGATGACAACATGCAGTTTTTCCCTTTAACTCAACCAAAACGCAAGAGATTGGGTTAGTATCAAGACAGATTTCCTCTGTTAAAATTCTTGAAGCTTTGTTCCTCTTCCCACCCTACATGGTACAACCTGCACATCAGTGGCTTTATGCAGGCAAAGACCAGTACACGGGAGGGACTCTTGAATTCACAGCTCATCTGCATCCAGCTGCAATATTTTGCAGTGAGATAGCTCTGATTTCGTATCATCAGCTAAATATCCCTGTTTATCTGGGGCGATTGGGTTTGACTACATTTAACATCTCTGTTACCCCACCCTCAGGCTACATAACTTATTCTTAAAAAATCCTACCTCTAGAAAACAGCTTTACATTGGCTTCTTAAATCCCAAATATCCCAAAAGCAGAGTACAAGCAAACGCCTGACGTTTCAATGCACAAACTGCAGAGGAAGAAGACTCTGCTGACCATAGCGCCCTGCCTTCCTCAGGGTAAATCCTTTCCACAATCCAGCTTTACTCAAATTGATCAACAGCCTCTCTCACCCAATTTTATCTGCATTTGGATTCAGTTTCAACCAGAATACAACAATTCTCATGCAAGTTTTACCGAGAGCTAAGACTCCCATCACAAGAGACTCCAAGATACCACCAAGTATGAATCTGCAATGGGCATTTATATTTTGCATTGAAAATAAAACATCCTAGCAGGCCTTTCCAATATAAAAATGATTTGGTGCATTGTAACAGGCATTATGGCACGTTTTTTCAAATGAAAAGCATGAAGAAAATAAAACTGTATTTCTTACTTTCGACGGAACATTTCTGCAAATATGCAGCCAACACTCCAAAGATCAACAGCTGTTGCATAACTGGACTGAAGCAAGACTTCAGGAGCTCTATACCACAAAGTAACAACCTGCAAAACAAAAAGGAACAGAAAAGAGTGCTTAGCTGCTGAATTACAACCTCCTAAGCGCTGTATGTACAGCTTCCACTTAGATTAATCTATATTGCAAAAACTCACGTATTAGGGTCAAGTGGTTTAGTCAGCACATAGAAAGGGGTCTTGTATGGAAAATCTCAGTATCCCATAGCTGCAATGATGATGACTCAGGATGTGAGACCATTTCTTATTAAGAATATTGCAATTCAGGGTACAACAAAACTATAGTTTGAGTATAGCATGAGTGTGACAATCAGTACAACACCACACTGCCAGCAACTCCCTGAAGCTTTTGCAGCTTACGGACCCCAAACACTTTTCAGTGGAGATCTGGACTCTCCATAGTGCAAATGTTAGTCAATTGAACATGACCTTGTTTTCCTAACTTTTGTGGATGTATATGTAGTCACCAGAGCCAAAGTGGAAGGAAACAAGCCAGGGAACACTGTGGGTTTACCCATAGGACATACCAGAATCTGCAGTATGTCTGTTCTCACTCCTTTATGGTTTATGTACTATTTTCTATAAAAGAAATCGGGTTAACTCAAGTGCAACGGGCCAATTAGGGTAAACATGTTTGACCTGCCTCAAAAGTTGTCTCTGAAAAAACTGAAGAAATGATAACTTTTTTTTATCAGTTGGATACATATTAAGTCAAACCCTTCTCAAAGCTGTCCCTTACCAAAGGCATCAGTGCTGTCTACTGTGGTTTCCTTGCACACAAAGGAACCCTAAACTGTCAGTTTTTAACTAAGCAACACAGCACAAGGATTCCTGGCAGATTCCTGACCTTTTTAGGTGTGTGACTGTCTCTGCCCATGTGCTGCTGGTCAGACTAGCAATAACTTCTCTCACACTGTTTAAATGACACACTCTTTTCCACAGATACACGCCATGTAAAGCACCTGCTTTTGGGCTGTTCTTGTCCTGGTGGTTATGTCACAACACGTTGTAGGGACCCAGTGGGAATTTTACTGGCACTGTTCCATCAACGTACTTTGATAAGTCCTGTTCACTGGACCCACAACAAAGATGGGACAGTTTATATTTATCCTTTTGTATCCCACATGTAGACCAAATACAGATGAGGATCTTCAGGATATTTGCAGAACTGCAGAAGAAGGAGCTTCTGCAGAGTCCTGTGCAAGCTACTATCTTGCTAGAATATAATCTCAGAGCCACAGGAGTATTCCACTCCTGAATACAGTTATAATCCAGCCATAACAACATATGACCATCAGCTAAGTGCCAGTATTTTCTTTCTCTGTGCTAGAATTTAAACCTCTGACTCTTATTATGGGGGCTAGCAGGGTCTCTGCAATAACTGTTTTTTTCTTCAACAAACATTAAGATGGGAGATGCAACATTCAGGAGGAGCATGAACCAAACCAAAACTCTGGGGAAAAAAAAAAAAGATAGAAACAAAGAAAAGTATAAGAATGAAAATAAATTTTAAAATTATGTTAATGAAGATGGTGAGTTCTGAATTTCAAGACCAACACAAAGAAATGTGTAAGAATAGTGGTTTCTTTTATGGTAACAATGTAATTGTCTTCTAAAGAAAAATTACAGTGGAAGTCATCAGCCAAATTTGCTGGTCAAAGCCAGATGAAACAAAGGCAAATGCAACATTTATTACAATTGTTACATGCCCTGACAGCCTTTGGAACCACTGAATGGCTATTGAAGGGAGGTTCATGGATATTTGCAAAAGTGGTCATATTTGCTAACAGTTCTTTTAAACACTTTGATGTTTATTTATAAAATACTTCTATGAAACAGTTCAATAACACAGTCCAATGTACTGCACTGGCAAGCTACACTTCCAGATACCCATCCAAGAAACAGATTCCTGTTTGGAAGCTGGGCTTTACTTAGCTCCGTTTATCTTGTTCCTGATTTGCTACCATACCAGTGATGCTTTTATGAAATCTTCTCTCTACAAAACACGGAGAAGTTTCTTCACAGATTCACTCCAAGGAAAGAAGACATATAACTGGAGGTCAGGGATTCTCTCTGGAGATGTCTTGTCTGAATCAGATATAATTCCTCCTAAAACACGTTCTTTTTCCTAACGCAGATGCATCTCTCAAACTGAACTATGCTTTTATTCTAGCAGTACATTTGTGGAAAAGCTTACTGAAGTAATATTGCTTTGAGAAATTAGATATAACAATTTCAACCCATTACTTTTTGTGAATGGCTGGGTGTAGTGTCAGGAGGAAGAGCTGTTTGATCTCTGATCTGTGGGAATACCACTAAACCTCACAATTCCTGGTTTGAGGTCCACATGGCTCTTCTCACACAGAGCACAGGATGATTCATTTTCCTCAATCCCACAGGCCCTGCAACATCAGGGATCTACACTCTCACAGGCAAAGAACTGGGGGATGGTTGTGGACCATACGCCCAAACTGAAGTCCCTTCCAGAGGAGTGTGGCACAGGACAGCTGCTCCTTTCCTGAGAGATGCATCACAGCTCCTGCCCGTGTCCGTGCTTGCTCAGGGGAACAGTGCTGCTTTCAGACGGCTGTGGAAGTGTGCAGCACGGTGGCTGCTTCTCCCCTCTGACTCCTTACTGGCAAATTCCCCAAGCATTTGCACCCTGCTATGTTCCATGCATGCATACATAAGGGACCAGGAGATTTTACTTGAGTGATTTGGAAAGTTAAACTTGTAAAATATGTGATTTCCCAAAGACTAACAGTTAAATTTCAGCTAAAGCCTGACTGTAGAGAGTAAGCCTGTCAGAGTAAGGAATCTGTGTTGAGCTGATTTGATATGCTGTCATTAATGTGCCATTATAAAAGTGATCAAATAACCTTTATGGTTGGTAACATGCAAGTCTGTGTTTCAAAATGTCAACCTGAAAGGGATCAAAATGTACTAAATGTCAGTTTGCACACAAGTAATACCACAGATGACTCCTTTTGTGGTCAGGGTCTTCTCCTGAAAAGCACAGGATGATGTGTATGATGCAGTGGTTTCAACAGTTTCATACTCTCTCTTACCATAGAAACCAAGAAAATATTTTTGGACATTCCATTAACATTTGCAGAGAAGTAGAAATGAAAATTATTCTGAACACAGGATATGGTGAGGCTGAACAAGGAGGTCATCACTTCCTCTTTAGCATAGTTCTGAGTGAAAAAATGCTTTGCTTAGGTAAGTCACACTACCAGGGAGACAAGGTCTCCCTGAGTGACAGCACACTTAACAGAGCTGCTTGATTAAGTCCCATTTTCAGGATGCAAAAAGCATCAGTACCTGCATCAGTAATCTCACTTAAATTCTGTCTCTCCTGAAAATCTGGCACAACATGTAATGCAGCACATGATGATTGCTCTGTAGGAAAAAGATTCATGTTCATGTGGTGATGGAGATCCTAAATTGTGCAAGACTCCAAAATATTTTGGAGGTTGTAGACTTTAGTGACCACGCTGCATTTTAGTCCTCTATCCTACAAAACTTCTCTCCACTGGCTTCTCCTTGATTCTGCTCACCCTGGCTGGTCTCTTCAGCTCCTCTCTTACACCAGATAGGTTTCTACCACATCCCATGACCTCCTGGCTTCTTTCCACTGCCTTCTTCTGGATTCCAGTCACATACACCACAGCCCCCTGAAGCATCACCAAACATGCCTAATTCCCTGCTGCTCCCGTGCAAACACTCGGGTGGACACAGCCTGCTGCCCTTGCTGTACGCCATGGGCTCTGCCTTCCCTCACATTCCTCATCAGCTCCTTTGCACCTCCAAGATTCCTGAAATTTCACACCCTGTCCTCTCTTTTCACAGCTGCCTCCAAATGCTCCTGGGCAAAATTATCTCCTTTTCCCACTTTAGCTTCTTAGTCCACTCTGCCTGTCCTGAAGATACCCTGTAACATTTGTGTTTAATAGATCCAGCTACACATTAAAAGACTGAGAACATTCACACACTGGAAGAAGTACCTAAAGACATAATGACAGTGCACATTCTATGTTTCTACTATCCAGATAAGATTGGATGGTATCAGGTAGGAAGGGTATCAGTAGCTGCAGATCATTAACTAACTATAATCTAACTATTTAAAAGTTAATAGATTTAGGCAGCACTTCATGATGAAAATAAATGACGTGTATCTGAGAGGCAGCAGAAAGGAAAAGAACATCTGCAAAAGTCTACTGAGGTTCTGTCTGACTCTCTGAAGAAGGAAATGTGCTCAGCAAGAAGCAAGGGAAAAGCTGCATTTAGAGTCAGATGAAGAAAGATTTTTGAAATAAAGCTTTCTGCCTTACTACACCAGATGTGGCTATTGGGCTATTGGGCATCACCTAGCCCAAGGAGTTTCAATCCTTCGTGTTACCTGTTTCTGATGAAAAATCAAGTTAGTGGGAAGGGCCTACTCACTAGCAACAGAAGAGAAGATCTAGGCATTGTGTCAGTCTCATATAATTTCCATTTACTTTACAGAACAGATTTTCATTTTTGCATAACTGCTTAATTTAAATGGATCTCCACCATATACAGCCCTTTCCAAATATAGTTGCTGTCTGAATAGCATTCAGTTCAAAAAAGACAAAGACAAACAGTAGTTTAGGGATGAGGTTGGGTAACACAGAGGCAAAAGACTACATTTCAGTTTGCCACAGACTTTAAGTACAGACCAATGCCCAGTTGCACAGCTACACGAACAAAGCAGGGATCAGACTGTAACACAGCAGCTATGTCTGTGCTGGGAAATTAAATGGGACAGGAAATGTTCCTTTGGCACTGAGACCAAGAAGTACAGAGTGGCCTATGTCCATATTATTAAATTCTCAGCCTCCCAAAAAAGGTGACCGCATGCAAACTGCTTATTGGGAATGGTCTTTGGTCCATGCTTAACTGCCAGCGCCTAGGAACTGTCTGGGGAAGGGCTGGTTGGAATAACTCATGCCAGGAACCATTCTAATAATTTAACAGTATAGACAATTGAGCTCCAGTACCCACGAATGTTTTCTGGCACTGTTTAATCTACCAGCCAGTGAGTCACGCTGTGGCCCCGGGTCTTCCTTTCATTCCAGAAAGAAGGCATTTTGCTATGCTTCCCTCATCTCCTCTGATTCAGAGGTGGCTCCACAAAAGTGATGGGGTGGGGGAGGCATGGCCTACTCCTCATCTCACCCAGCAACTGGTCTTACTTTATCCTAAATGTGTTGCACAGGTTAGATGAACACACACTGCATTTGATTATCATCCACGGAGAGAATGTGACTGGCCCACATGTAGACATCTTCCTCTTAGATATCCAAAGCCAGATGAGACTAATTCTATACTAATTAGTTCTGAAGGGGCTGGAAGAGGCCTGTAAAACCTTTTACAATACTAAATTTCACAGAAATCATGTCACAAAAGAAATTAGCATGATCCTTAAATTCACATAAAGTATCCTTGAATTCAAGTAAAATTCTTCTTGTAAACATTTTGCTTTTGTGATTGTGGTTTCTTCTTGTATTGATTTTGTCAATTATATTGGCCATTAGATGCTGGCTCATCTTGTTACTTAAAGCATTTAAATCTCATGAAAGATTACTTGTAAATTTATTTTTTTAATGTTCCTTACAATGGTTCTTAAACTCGAGTTTTTTATTCAGTTCTCACTAACAAGACCTTCACATGATCTTCAGGACATCTTTTTGACTGTTTTTTATTTATTTTTGTCCTTTCTTTTTGAGTAAAATGAGGGAACATAGCTACAGAATATATGGTACAGTATGCAGAGTCAAGCTCTTCAGTGTAGCTTCATGGTCTTCCAATTTCACAAAGAATCTTTTGCTTCAAACTGTTCATGAGGATTCAAAGTGGAATCTTAGCAAATTCAATATGAACCTGCTACTGTATGGCTTGTTCTTCAATTCTGGGACTGTAAAACAACTTGAAGAACTTTCCTGAAGCTTTGTAAAAAAATATCTTCTCTGCTGTATGACTAAGCTTGACACATTTGCCACAGGTTAGCTGGAGAGGACAGAATTACAGACAAGCGAATTGATTGAAGTCTGGCTTCAATCCCCAATGCAGAGAGAGGCTCTCTCTGCCTAATCCACCTCCCTTTCACTTGGTAGAAACACAGTTGAAAAGACTCCACAGAGACTGAAAAGAAGAAATGTAATTTCTGAACCGAATATGCTAAAATGGCTCGCTGGTCTGAAAGAGTAAATTGCTTAAAATGAAATCAATGTAATATTAAAAACTGCTTAGGAAAAGAAAGGATTTGTTTAATAACGTGTCACTGTCTTCAGTTTGGAGTATGGACCAACAGCCAGGACCGAGCAGGGCAGAAGTGGCAATCCAGAGGGCTGGTGACACTAATGTGACATGATGGCATTTCTGCAGGATCATAGGCCCTACACTGCCCTGTGTGCTGCTGAGTCCTCCTGACAGCCCAAGGTGGCCCCACTTTCCAGAATTCTTGTGTAACAGATTCACCACCAGCCCCTCACTATGCCCTGCTCTGCTCCAGCAATGATGATATTCCTCACCTCCCCGTCAACTTCCATGCCCCCAGGGAACACTCCAAAGATCTTTGGAAATGGATCACACCTATGCCACAAAGGGATATGATTCTTGTTTGTGTTTTTGTGTGCATGAGTTCCAGGAAATAAGGGAGGAGGTAGTCTGGGGTGTGCCGGACCTAGGAGCAAGGGGAAAAGAGGTGAGAAAGGGAGGAGAGACAATGAATGCCCCATTCCACCCTGCAGCACCATGTACAACAATTCCAGCACAGGCAGGGAACACAGGCAAAACCCACCTGTCCCACAGGTGCAATGAGGCCAAGGTAGGGGATTTTAGTACGTGCTAAATTTTAGTAATTTTAATCTTTGCACAGTGATGTATTTTTCATCTCTGGCTTGGAAAGGGGTGTCTGTCCTTTACATGCTGCAAACTGTCTTGTTGTGTTTTCCTATCACTATCCCTAGAGCATTCACTGAGCATTCTGTATTTATAAAGCAAACCTAGGACTCTCTTTAACCTATTTATTATTCCTAATAATAAACAGTATTTATCTATTTAATCCATTATTATTCCCAACTGGGATAGAGAAGGTAATAATTGCTACATTATATGACATGCTTTAGTTTCCAGGGATAGTATGTGCCCAAACAATTGTATTTCTTTAATCTGTCTTTTGAGTAGTGGTTCTTCCACTGTTATTTAGCTGTTTTCAGTTCCATCACAGAGGTAGGTATGACTAGAGAGAAATGTTTCTTACTTAGAGAAAGACGATTGCAGTTTGTCTGTTTACAGAAACATTAAAATAGTTTCCCTTTTAAAGTGTGTATCGAACTACATTAGTGGCTTTTAAAAAGCACTTCTTGAAAACAGATTTAGCATACAAAACATGAAATCTTTTCTAGCACTGTGGGTCTTATGAAGTGCACATGGTAATACTAACTTTATCTCTTTATTCACATTTGTCTCCATTTTGGGCACAAGCTTGATGAATTGCTTTATGAAAACTGAAATGAATGTTGTTATCATTCCATGAGTTAGATCATCAAGCAAAAGATTATTTATTTATAGAAGACACAAATCCTGATCACATGTACTGCCCACTATCAAGTCACTGTTTTAGAATGGGATCTCCTGTTTTTGATGCTAAAACATTTGTGATTTGAAGGAAACATGGTTTAGCATCTACTGTAAGATAACATGACAAATAAAGAAGCCATTCATTTCTTGGATGTTCTATACACACAAAACTAACCAGAATTTTCCTTTTTTTTTATTTCTAGGAAGAACCACATCACTCAGTGTGCTAGTGCTGCTGAAGAGCATTTCTAGGTACATCCGTTGTCAGGAGGCATGAATGTGTGTGCGTGTGTGTTTGCACATCATGTGCTAGCTGAAGATGCTTTACCTACATTCAGAGGGTTTTACCTTAAAAGTCTCTGTGCACTAACCATCTTTGTGAAACAGCTACTAGAAAGGAAAAAACTGGCTCTTAACATGAGGTAATATTTAAACCACTAGTGATTCAGACCTTACCTCAAAACTCATACAAGGAAATATATTTCTACTAAGCACAGTATTTCATAGAATTCCCTACAGAGACGATATAGAGAACATTTCTGAAAGACTACCTGAGACTTCAGGTGAAAAGTATTTTATCTTTACTAAAAAATGTAGCAAGAATAGTATCAGCAACACTATTCTACCTGATCCAGATCCCAAAAAAGTCAGACTTGCCAGGTCTTGCTGTGTATTGAAATCAAAACCATGTTTCTCTATTCTCTGAGCTGCACAACTCAATTCTTTACAGAAATGGTCAGATTTGCATGCAGTGAGACTTGTGCTTATTACCACAATGTATTTACAGATGGAGATAACTGACAATACTGAGAGACAGACTTTAAATAGAAATAGCCATTCTTCAATCATGCTTCAAGACTCAATAATCAAATCTGTAGACCGAAACAGCAAATTCTAATAATCTCAGAACTAAAAAAAAAAAAATCACACAGGCAGCAAGAAATAAACACCACTGTCCTCTTATGCAGATCAAGTTGAACACTTACTGTAAGGAAGGTGACATTTCCTTCCACAATTCCAAACTAAACTAAAGCTAAAAAACCCTAAAAAACCTAAAAAAACCTAAAAGGTGGCAGCCTGAGACTGTGCCTTAGAATACAGACCTTGTTCTGGGTCTGGCTGCAGCGATTTGGCATTTTTCCACTTGCTCAGTCACCTGTCAGCGTTTTAGCCCAGGGAACAGTCCTAACTTCTAGAAGCACACCTTGGGCTTTGTTTCAGTTGCTTTGCTCTCCTCTACATCTTTAAACCACAAAATCAACTAATCTAGCACCCTGCATATTCCCACTGGATGGCATCTACCTCTTCTACAGTCTCTCACATCACTTTTGCCCTGCTCCTGGGAGCAGAAGAGCACACAACTCTAACTTGTGCCAAGGACCAAACTGTGGTCATCTCCATGCCAAGATCCCCCAAACCTGCCCTAGTGACTGCCTGGCCTTTTCTTGGGTTCATCAGACGAGAGAATCTGAGCCTTCTCACCTCCACCGGGACTTGATAATGATGACCAGCTTTCCACTGCTACCAGAAAATCAGTCTGGTTGAAAGAAAAAAGTGTTCTCACTTCCTGGGGTGCTGTGTTGGGCCTCCAGTCCTGAACAAAAAAAGCCTAAATGAAGCAAAACCGCCACAGACCACTCTCCCATGGAACTTGGGCCCACTTCTGTCAAGCCATCTTGAATAAAAGGAGGAGATGCACAGGGAAGTCACAAAGAATGGATTAAATTGGGCCAGTCCTCTAGGTGAGAGGCTTTACCGTGTATAGCTTGGGAGTCTAGACAGCAGAAACTTGGTGCGAACAAATTCTACAAGATAGTATTTTCATTCAGTTGAGAATTAAACTTAGAAACTAATGTTGTGTCTGAAGGCAAAGTACCAATTTCACAGAGCGCCTGGTATAGTAGATAAGAGGCTGGTGGATCAACATCTGTCAGAGATAGTCATGTGAAGCAATAGCTTAGAGTAAAAACTCCTATATTGCAGCAAAGCTCTAAAATAACTGCAAACTAGTCAGCTTCTCTGCAGTAGAAGAACACTTCATCACTTGGGATGTACCTGCCCTCACTACTTCACCAGGTACAGACTTCACCTGTGGCTGATCATCATGACAACCATGACAGAGCTGGGCCTTCCTACACCTGTGGCATAAAGAAATTGAGCAGAGAACACTGCAAATCTGTTCCACATTTGAAACTGAATGCAAGAGATTTTACTATGGCCTTACATAAATGTATGGCTTTAAACTGAAGTAAGCAAAATTGTAAATGATACCATACAGATGAAACTCCTAAGAAATACCTTTCAAGAATTCCTTGAAATCACATTTGGGAAACAAAACCCTCATGAAACATCTTTCTTTTTAAAAACAAATGTGAAAAGAGATTTCTAAACAGACACAAATAAAATAAGAAAAAGTTGAACTTTCCATATACAGATGCAATACATGCATAGGTGTATGCACTCATATATAATTAAACATACCACAGTCATTAGACTTGAAATAAACATCACCAGGACAAAGACCTGCCATAGACATGCAATTTCTAGCCAAAAGCAAGGACTCGAGAGAAAGGTCAAAAACAATAAGAGGGGTCTTTAGGCTGTCTGAATCTCACATTTAAGTGGCCTTGTGAGCTTAAGACCAGTAAAATGCTGGGCACAATCCACAGAGGTTACGAAGTTCTTTGTAGGCATCTTCAGTTACCAAATTCTTCTTCTTACTCTTAAAATGTCTGCAGGTCTTAGGTGTAGATGGTCACACACATGAGAAAGACCTGTTCTGCAGAAATAAGCAGCTATGTTTGAACGAAAGCACTACTGTGAGTGATGCATTTTTGGCAGACAGATACCCTGGGTAAACTGATGTTTTCAACAAAAGTCCATATGGAGCCCTACCTGGTGAAGCCTGTAACCAAGAGTGGTCGTGGAAGCAATATGTTTGCATCTACATTAACATCTTGTGCAAATGTTATTAGGTTAATCTCAAAGTGGAAACTCAGCTGAAGGGGATTTAACTGGCACCTCCTACACCCAAGCACATTCTTTGACCACTATGTTAGGGGTTTTTTGGGTGACAGCTCTTTTCTTGCCTTTGCTGAAGCCAAATCACTACTCTGCCAGGAGTATATGAGTCATGGGGTAAGACTGTGTCTGAAAGCAGCTGAATGCTTAAGAACAATCAGCTGGAAGGGGCAAGGAGCCGAGTTTCTGGATACCGCTCTGGAATGTGTATGCATTTTACATTAAGACCATCACTGGATAAAAATAAAAGCAGGCATTAATTACATTAACCAGGCTGGATTCTACTTTGTATCTAGACAGATTGTATTCCACCTCTCTGCTTCTAATGGATGGAACTCACAAAAATTCTAGAAGACAGCACTCTGCTTTTTTTCTGTGGAGAAAGAAGCAACATCTTGCTGCTTGCTGCTTGCTCCTCCCTTGCTGCTTGCTCCACTACTCAGCAGCCAAAACAAGGGTTCACAGCACTAACTGAAGCCCAAGATTTTGAAAGAAACCAAAAGAAAATTTCCTCCATTTATAAATGTTATAGGACTTTCTGAACTGATATTAACTATCTGAAGATCTAGCAAAAAACCAGAATGTTACAGTTGGTCCAATACTAGACCTTGATAGACATTATTTCCCAATTTTAACATCAGAGATGGTATGATTAATTTATGTTATTTTCAAGAAGCCATATTCCAAGGAAAATTATATACAGATAACATTGTGTTGGATAAACAAGACCTTAATTAGTCTAGATGACTGAAGACTCTACTCGAGAGTAGTGACAGATCTATAAAAATATAAAATGTTTTATTTGTGAAAATAATGTTGTAGATCAGACTTCTATAGATAACACTCTCAAAATTGATACAAAGCATCAATTATTTAAGCCAAAGAGATAATAGCTTAAGACAATACAAACAGGAATGTTCAAGGTAATGAGTGCTTTCATGTTACAAGTTCTCAAGTCTGAGGGCACTGCATCAGGCTAAAGGACAATGAGATAACAGCAATATTGCTAGTTACTAACAAATGGCAGATAAAAGACCTCTTCTGGATTCTGATTAAGTGACAGCATTCTACACATTCCTGTGAGTTGAGAAAGTTTGCCTGAGAACAGCAGCTATGTTACATGTGAAGCACCACTAAACAAGCGTATCTCTATGTTTTCAAATTCCAGCGTGAGTAATGGCTCTTTCTCCCATCTCTTTAACTTGAACAGAAGCTCTCTCTCTCCTGGACATGCAGGAATAACTTGCCGTGCCTTCAGTTTCCATTAGGACGGATAAATGTATATGCTGAAAGTAAAGAGACGTTGTGTAGGACTCGGTGGCTGTGAGCCAATGTTTACAATCCCCTGGGTGGGAAATGACGGGTGAAAGGCTCTCCATGGCAGGCTGTAGGAGTCTTTGCTGTTGCCGACAATGACCTTCTGCCTCTATTTTCAAAGTAGCTCCCCTGTTAACTCCTTGAACACTGTGTGCAGAGAGGCCTTAGAGAGGAAACACTTTCCCTGAGAGTCCAAATCCACTTTGAGGCATCTGACAGACTCCAATTTCAGCAGTGGTTAAGGGAGTGTGGACTAACATGTGCACCCTGCATCTGCTGTTGGAGTGTGGCATTGACATGCAATTTGAGCAGTCTAGAACTGGGCATAGCTGTGTTCTGTGTGATACAAAGTCAATGTTCTCAGCTTCAGGGAGGAACATCAGTTTAGAGGCACAGGGGTTTGCCAAACACTGAGCTAATGAGTCTACAGGACAGAATGAAAATCCAATACATAGAGACATGTTTTAATTCTCTCTGGCCAGTCAGTAGCAACATTGTTTGCTGGTAGTGACAATACCGTCTCTTAGGGTCTACTCTTGAGGAAAGAGGAACAATTTAAAAAATTTTAGTGCAGTGCAGTGAAGATACACAACAGAGCGCCCAGTGTGGAAAGGAGATATACTGCTTTAAAAAGGTTTTGCCCCTCTCCTGCCTAACAATGTAAAATACAATATTTAGGAGATCTCTTCTTGGGTCCTATCCCTTTTGCTGCTCTGTAAATCACTCATGGCTCCTAACAGTTCAGGAAGAGTCCTTATAAAAATAGAGTAAAACAGACTTACAAAAAAGGCCTTAAAAATGCTTATTGCAACACATACTCATCTTCTAAAATAAGAGAATAAATCCAATGAAAACTAATATTCAAGCACTAGCATAGATGCTTTAATGGTCTGAGAGAGACAGTCAAGTGCTCTTGTGAAAACATCAACCTTACTACCAGTTAACCTTGGAATATATTTTACCCTCATCCTTGATACTTGTCTAAGTCTTTTCCCCACAAAGACCTGATCTCAGAAACAATCGCTGCATGCAAAAAATTCTTAACATATTCCCTGAAAGGGAATAAGAGTGCTTGCCATCTCCAGAAGACATTCACAGTATTAACAGCCACATAGAGACAAGCACCATCTATCCCCTCTTTGAATTTTTAGAGAAGTCCTGTAAATAATATCCTCATGTGGTCAGGAAATACTTGTGTAACATCCATGTGTGGCCCCATGGATGCTGAGGAGGAGAAGAGAGAAGCAGTACCAGAAGCCAGAGCTTCTGCAGAGACACCAAGCCCAAGTATCAGTAGCTCTGAGACCGACACAGAACAACAGCCTCTAAAGCTGTTGCATTGTCTAAGGTTCTAAACTTAAAGAGGAACAGGACTAGCTGGCAGGACCTCAGCTGCTCTTCTGAGGCAAAAAATGTTTTGCATGAGAAGTCTAATGCTATTAGGTTGTGTCAAGAAACACAATTGGACATCTCATAAAAAGCTCCAACCTAAATCCAAATATGCACATATTTCCTAGCGATTTCATTTGGAAGCTCTGAGTGGTTAGAGGAAGACATCTGCAGGCAGTGAAATCATCGATATTTAGATCTATGTTTGTTTTTAATTGTTAGTACTTTAGAAAATAGTTTTAGAAACAAAAAATTAGAAATACTCTATGTTTTCTAATGAATATACGATTGCAGCTAATAAATATATTTTTTTCAAGGAAAATGGCATCCTGCAAGGAAAAGAATTTTTGATGATAGCAAACAAAGAATGTACCTCGATTGGAATAGTTTTCTTTTTTGTTAATATGAGGATTTGTTACTGCTGTTTAAAATCATTAATGACCCTGTGATCAGAAACTAAGTGCTTTCAAGAGCTAACAGTATTATTGTTTTTAGAAGGATACACTCAGGCTGAATTTAGAGCAAGTTAGTTTTTGTAATATGAAGCTTTTACAAAACATGGGTCTAAATGACCCCTCCTTAAGCTTTTTTATTTACAAAGCATCTTTAAACACCAGATAAACTTTGTTTTGTTTTGGGCTACTGCATGAAATCTGAAAATGAAACTTCTTTGAAAAGAAGTAGGAACAAGACTAAAATAACCCATGAGCACAATTCAGGAGAAGGAAAACAGAAGTGAACAGCTCAACTAATGAAAAGAAAAGAAAGATTTTTAGTTACAGCAAAGATGTTATTGAGATCAATAAAAGAGGCTTTTAGTGCTTCTTCTGAATAACTGAATAGCCACATGCCTTGAAATCACTTACATGGAGACTAGCAGTATTTCTTAATACAAGTCTGGGGTGTAATCTTCAGGCTGAAAAATAATGTAGAGTACTGGAGATGACCTCTCTTAACCATCTTGCCATTCCTATCTGCAGGACCTGGGATGATCAACAGTTGATTGGGAAATGCTGTACACAAGAATGCTATCTATGTGTTTTATCTCATATGTCAGGACCAAGTGTAATATTAATCAATTACATCTCAGGCAAATACAAAGTAGATTACATACCACTCCCATAATAAATCATCTATAAATCAGCTTATTTTTCAAAGTTTGAAAGACGTTCATTGTCCTTGACTGCAAAAGGAACCAGTGTACTTATGAGAAACGAAGCCTATTCTAATTAATCTAACTTCCTGTGAAGTTTTAAGTATTTTGTAATGAGTAGCAGCTCACTACATGCAAATACATGATTTTTTTATTTTTATGAGGAAAAAAAGGGCAAATCTGTAATTTGGAAGGAGATTTTGGTATAGGTACTTTTATGTTGCTAAGCATGAGCCTGCTCTTGAACTTTGCTGACTTAGGGGACTTAAGACTCATGCCTGCCAGTGATCAGGTGCAAGCTGTACTTGTTCCTCCTGTAGATCTGACCCTTTTCTTCATCTACTGCTACTATACCACTTTGATAGCTTGTTTCCAACTGACATCCCTAACTACGAACAAATTACATATATAGATTCCACTGGGGACTATCATGTGTGCAGAGTCTTCGAAGAGAGTATGAATCTATTTCCACATGTGACAGGATACAAAATGGTTGGTTATTACAAGGGTATGAAGAAGGCATCCATGCATAGGAAACAGCACAATTATCAGTAAAAAACAAGTAATTTTGCATCAAGGGCCACTGGTCACTGGGAGATAGTTCAAGTACATCTAAAAATGCTGTATAAAGATATGAAAACTTAAGCTTGTTACAGTAACTCATTTCTCATCAATTGAGTATGTTGTAGCTGCAAACCCTGTCGCTGCCTAGTGCACTGATGGTTCTCCTCTCCACACAAACTGACAGCCTTCACACCAACTTGCATCTTCTTTGGAGAGGTGGCCTAATACCTGCAATCTTGTTCTTGTTTCTTTTCTCTGCTATGTACTAGTAGAGCAAAATGACTTACAACATTGCATATAGTAAATCAGGAGTATAAAACTTCCTTAAAAAGATGCCAACACCTTAACTGTTTATAAAGACACAGAAAACAGAAAAATAGTATCAAACTAGCAGGTTTATGCAGCCTTCTGTTTTTATCCAAGTGTTAATGCTATACTGTGGGCTTTTCCCTAAACCAGATAACTGTAAGGTCTGATTTCATTGATGAGTTTAAAAAGGCAGCATTCACTGCTACTGAGGGTCTCCTTCTTGCAGCTGTTGCTGTGATGGGTTGTATTTAATGAAAATTTCTCCCTTTTCCCTCTGAAAACTTAACACCTATGATTTAACATGTAAAACTCAGCTTCTATTCAAACACCTCACAACAATAACAATGCATGTGCATTGATGTAGTTTTATTTCTTGTAACAAAATCATTAGATTCATGAAGCAACAACTGAACTGCTCCATACACAGTATATAGTTAAAACTGCAGAACTGAAGCCAAAATATGCACAGCTAAAAGGAATGTTACAGGGGGGCCTCTCTTAGTGAACAAAGCAGGCTCAGTTTGGCTCTTTTTCCCTAGCGCTACCACATCCGCACATCGTTAGTTGGAAAATTCCAGATATATGCTGTAATTTTTTGTGCTTTTTTTTCCCAGTACACTTGAGGCTTTAGTGTCCAGATGCCATTTTCCCCCCCTTATCTGTCCCTGCTAGTTTGGGTCTTTGCCAGTTGTGGTCAACAATTAATACAGCAAAAGAAAAATACAGTACACTCCCTGGCAACTGGCAGAGGCTCACAGGAAATACCAAATAAAAACTTTATTATGTATTGTTTAACTATTTTGTTTGCCTGTGGGCCACCCTGTTGTTGGTGTAATTTAGAAAAGCATGCTCCATCTGGATGATCTGTGCGCAGGCTCATTGTTCCCAGAATCTGTCACGCACAATCACTGCTTCAGCCTGTGGCCCTCTGCAGAAAGAAGCAAAGGCATGGCAGCCCTCCAGCCTGCATTCCTTTTCATTAGACAACTTGTGACCAAATGTTAGAATAGAAGAGTAACCTTTTAATATTCATGTAATTAATTTACTTTCCCCTTTAATTATAAACCTGCACGTGAAAAGAAGAAAATAAAAAGACTTCCCTTCATGATTCTCCTCCCTCCTCCATCCTTTCTATCTGCTTTCTGGGACATGGAAGGTGCTGGTTTCATTACACATAGGTACCAGTACTTCTGTCTATTAGAAAATTCACATGGCCTGAACATGTTGGCAGGCTTTTGGTCTATGTATTAATTGGTCTGGTACACGGAATAGATTCTGAATTATAATGAAATGGGAGAAATTAAATTCTTTCCTCTATATGACCTTGCAGCATCTGCTTCCTTGTCTTAATCAGTGGGGTAATCCATTGAACACAAAGCCATTCTTCTGTATTTGAAAACACAATAGACATCTAATTGAGGTTCCCTTCCACAGTAAGGTCAGCATATGACTCAAAATACTGTGTCACCTTGGATTTTGGCTGTGCAGGGCTAGATGTATAGGCAGTGCTTAGTCAGTTCTGCTTTCCTGGAAAATGGTGGCATTTTTTATCTTAGATTAGACCAACACGGAACTAGCTAACATGATGCAAAAGCTTGCTCCCTACAATTCAAAAAGTGCATTTGATTCCAAGTGCAAGTCCAAGGTCCCATCATATGAGTTAACTTCAGCACACTGAACTGGGGCCCTAAATTCCACATGGGTAGTTCATCCTTTAGTTGCCACAGCCCATTCAAAGGAATCCAATTGTAGTAGGTTATAATTCGAATAAATGAAACCAAGGTAGAAACTGCCTGTCTTCAAAGCAGCATTTATGTTCTTATTGCCTGATTTTGATTGCAGTTTCAATAGGTGATGAAGACATTAAGGATTCACAGCCACTTGGCATATTAAAGGATGGGGGCCCAAACACAGTCAAATGTCCTGTATAAGATGCAATGGTTTCTATGGCAACTGAGGGACTGTTACTGAACTTCACTCATTTTTCTTTTATTAAATAGGTATACTGCCATGTTAGGTCTGCGAGTGATCAACATATATGTTAGTGGTTTGATTAGTTTATGCATCAATCCATCATAGGAATGGAAAGCAGCACAAGAGATTTTCTGTCGTGGTTACTTCAGCAAAAAATAATGTAACAAGTCAATGCTCTGGACGAGAACAAGACTTAAAAATGAAAAGTCTTTCACTTTGTAATAAAATAGCACTTAACTGAGTTGGAACGATTCTGCCTGTTCAGTACCTTTAGCAGGGAATATAACAAAAAAGGTGACATTCTTCATATTAATTGCACATTCAGGGTATAGTATTTCACATATTCACTATGAAAGAATTCCAGTTACGTGTCAAATTAAATTGCTTGCATATAAAAAAGTAGCATCTTCTGTCCAGAAGGCAAAGTAGCAACTGGAAATAAAAGTGAATTCGAACACTCCTTGGCCTAAAGCAACAAAAAATTTAAAAAATCCAACCAAGTATAATGCAACAAATAAATCTTTGTCATTGTACTTAGTATGGCCTAATTTTTCCTGTCAATGCATTGATTGTCTTTTTATGCTTCCTCAATTTATTTTTGCTCTCTTCTCCCCTAATTCCCTCCATGTACTCTACAGTCTACTACGGGTGTACCATAAAATACACAATTTTTGTGGGAAAGAAAGATATTAGGAACTGTGCTAAGCTGAATTCCAAGGAAGAGGCAGGATGCTGGATTCAAAGAAAGAGTTAGGATGGCCTGTACTACAGTTAGAACTCTACACTTAAAAAAAAAATTTCAGTATACTTATGACAAGTCATTTAAGACGTAACAGAGGTGAAGCTCCTCCCAGGATTTCCAGATTCTTCCCTATTGTTATTTCCTGAGCAAATAAGCTTAAATACTAATGTAACAACTTAGCATTTAAATCTACATGAATTTTAATGACATTGCTCAGAGGGTAAAACCACGAGAATGAAAAGCTACATGTATAACTACACCTGGATGCTTGTAAGTATCAAAGGAGAGTAATACACTCCCATACAGAAATCTTCTTTCTTCTGAAGAATAGGAGGTAATGTTAAAATCCTTGATTAAAATAATTATGTTGACTAATTGAAAAAATTAGTCTATTAACTAGGAATTTATCATAATGGAGAAATTTATGTTTGGCTGTAAATACATAATATGGTAAAATGTCTTCAAAAAAGAAAACAGATCTTGATTCAAATTTGTACAGCTTGTTACACAATGATTCTGTTCCATGATGATGGAGTTTCAAAGAAATTGTCTCTGCTAAGGGGATTATGATGCACAATAATTGCAGACCAGTTCTTTCCTGATGTCAGAACAGAGATCCAGTTTCTCCAAATGACCACAGTCTGATAGGACAGTGCTGTAACTTCCCATTCCACTGACCAGATCTGAAATCCTTTACAGTATAAAAACTGTAAAACTGAAAAAAAACCCTCTTCTACCTAAAAATTGTGGTGGAAGCATGCAGAAACAGTTCTGCTGAGTTTCTCACCTGGACAAGGTGCTTATAACAGACCCACTAATTCCTGGAAATACCCAAAGCTGTGTTCAGAGCGGGATATTTAAGTCCTGAAATGTTAGATCAGGATGAAAGGGCTTTTCCATTTTAGCATGCATCTCACCAGGAATTATAAGAGGTTTGTGTTCACACCTCTGAATGGGTTTAGAGTACAAGCGACATGTAGGGAACCCTCAGAAGAAAATGACAACAAAAACACAACAAGTATGGTTGTCTGTTTAATAACTTGTCCTGTTTTTTCAGACTTTTGGGCTTAACTGCAGCAACTGTCAATGGGCTGTTCACGTTTATCACAGAATCACAGGATATGCTCAGCTGGAAGGGACCCATCAGGATCACTGAGTCAGGTTCTGGGTCTGTGCAGGACACTCCAAGAGTCACACCATGAGCCTGACAGCATTGTGCAAACCCTTCTTGAACTCTGTCAAGCTTGGTGCTTTGACCACGTCCCTGGTGAGCCTGATCCAGTGCACAAGCACCTTCCATGAGAAAAATCTTTTCCTAATAGCTAACCTACATCTCTCCTGACTCAGTTTCATGCCATTTCCTTGAGTGCTGTCACTATTCTCAAGAGTGTGATCTATACCAGAACCTGCCCCTCTGCTTCCCCTGGTGAGAATGTTGAAGACCACAGTGAGGTCTCCCTTAGTCTCCTCTCCTCCAGGATGAACAGACCAAGTGACCTCAGTCACTTCTCATAAAACTGCCCCTCTGCAGACTTTCACCACCCCTGAGGCTCTCTTTAATAGCTCAATGTCTTTTTTATATTGTGCTGTCCAAAACTGCACACAGAACTCAAAGTGAGGTCGCACCAGTGCACAGCAGAGCATCAAAAGAAAATCTAATCTTCTCAAGGTACAAGGTGAAACCTTCTTTGTCATGATGATTTGAGTAGCAACATGGAAAAAGAAAAATAAGACCTGAGTATCAACTGTAAAAAAATCTTGACTTGCTTCAAAGAAAGCAGCACATGACCAGAGGGCCTATTTCAATGCATACGAAATACAAAATACACGGTTCCATCCCTTCACTTCTAGCTGTTCTTCAAGATAAAGTATAAAACACCCTACACTTTTAAATTCTATTATCTTGTACTGTAGCCTACTACCACTGCTTGTGAAGCTACTGAAGGCATAGAGGAAAATAAAAATTCTTTGATTTTTAATATGACTCAGGCATTTTGTGCATTTTTGACTGCCTATGATATGGGAAGATATTAACAGTCCTCTTACTAAAATTTTATTTCCTCCCTTGGCATGAAAAGAATAAGAAAAAATTACTAGCAAGTACTCAGCATGAAGGGTAACAGGACACAAAGTGATATAAGTTACTCAATATAAAGAAGAATTAGCATCCACTTATCATAACTTTTTTATTTCGAGTCAGTCTAATAGCTTCCTCAGTTCAGTCTGGATCTAGAAGTTTTGGAAGGATTTACACATTTAACTTGCTAATAGTGTGAGGATCAGATTACAGTTGCAGTGTACCAGCTGCAGGAAAAGTAAGTTCTACATAGGCACAGCAGTTCCCCTCTCAGACAACTTGATCTTTGCACATTATGCTGCACACTAATGACGTAGACAAGGGTAAAAAATAGCTCCTTAATCCTTTCCTGGTGAATCCATTCTCAAGAACCAAATGTCTTTAAAAAGGTGAGGCCAGAGCTACTGGATCGATCTGAATGACAAACAGTACTGAGAACAGAGGGGAAACAAGAACATGTACACATAAAGTAAAAAAAAAAAAAAGTCACAGTTGGGGGATGAAAGTATCTATCACTGCTTGTAAATTCTAAGAACTGCTGTAGTTTTGTCCTTTTTTTTTTTTTTTTTGTGAGTTAATGTCCAAAATTACAGGATGGGATAATGTGTGCACACACCCGGCTGTGTATGACTTCCGTTTTCAAAACTCGATGCTCGATGCTGAAGCAGTGCAGAAGGCGATGTCACATGTGACTATACATAGAAAATGCACAGAGCCTCCTCACAGCAGGGTGGGAACTCCACCCCCTCGAGGGCCTCAAAAAATCTCTGCAGGGTAAATATATAGCTGATGTTGTAAACACAAAGTAGAGCAGGACAGACTTCAGGAAACTCAGGCTAACTTCAGAAGATGTTTACATTGACTATAAAAACTGAAAACAGTGTTTACATTGAGACAGGCTTTCTTCTCTGGTTTAATACAGATTCTTTATTCAAACTTGTCAAAACCTAATGTATACACCTAATTTTTAATCTGAATTTACCTGATGCAAACATATTTTTTTCTTAAATTCACTCGTTTTATGTAAACTGTTTTTTAACAGTTGTATCAATTACTGCTTGCATCAAATTTCATTTTATAGCATGGAAATACAACTCTCCGTAGTTCTGCTGATAACTGAAGTTATGGATACATTTTTATTTTTATGCAGCAATAATTCTCAACTGAGTACTACAGTTTTAGAATATGTACTCAAAAGTATTGTTAAACAATGTCTTTCAATGCTATTTCACATTTTTGAGCCATCAGAAGATTTTTCATTCTCTTTTGCATTAAAAGAATGGATTATTGGTCAGGCCTTAAGGGTTTTAATATGTTAACTTGTCACTGTCATGTCAAAAAGAAAAAAGGAGTTGTGTTCTACAACGTACCAATGAGAATTGTGTGCCCAAAACCATGGACTGGATAGGCACTTATATCAATACCATTCCCCAAAGTCCTTGTTGTTCTTTGTATACTCCACTCCTCCAAAGCAGCTTGAATATTTGTTCATAGAATGTGTTTGTATTTTTCAAACAGATTATGAAAACCTGGAATGAAATTCTGGCCACAGTGAAGTTAAAAGGATGTTTTTCATCAACTGCATGGAAGCTAGGATTTCACAGCATGGAGATTCAGTATTATTGTAGAGGTTTACCATGCCAGTTTCCCATCAGCACAATTTGAAGCTAAAACCAAAGTGGCATAATTTTCTTTTTCATTTGTATCAAAAGGTCCTTGGTAATCAAATTACAAGCTTTGTGTTTAAGACTTAGTTTATAGTTTAAATACAGTTTTTCTACAAACTCAAAGGTTTTACATCTTTGGATATTGACAGTAGTACAAATGGTCTTGATTTCTGTTGAAAATCGTTCACTTATTCCCTAAATGACTTGAATTAATCTGGCTACACTGTATGACACTTTTCAATGTAAAGAGCTTTTAATGTCCTCTGAAATCACAGTTCAAACCATATTTAAACTTCAAAACCAACTTCCAACAAATCAGGGAAGTCCATATTGGAAAAATGGAGTGGTTTCACCTACTCTGTTCAATCAACGTAATTTTTTCTCTAGAAAATCTAGTTGCATTTTTCATAAACTGATGGTTTTTTCACAGACTGATGGAAACTAGTTTTCTGGAACTGGGTTATACAGTGACTTTGGTCCATTTAACAAGGTCAGACTGTTTATTCTTGACCAAATTCTTTCCCACTGTAAAAAGGTACTTTTAAATGCCACATTCCAAAACAGTGCCAGTAAGTCAATGAAGCATATTTTCCCACAAGAACTGATACCAGGCACAGGCCTCTCCTTTTTAAATTCTTCTGGTGATTAAATTACATAAGGTGCACGATGTCTTCAGTGTCCCAGATCATTTAAATCTATCTATAGTATCAGCTGTGCTTTTATTAACTTAAATAGTTTTATTCATTTCAAAGCAATACTGTCTGAGCACCATCAGAAATTAAAAGAAACTAAAAGGCATTTAAGCAAAAACTTTAAATATTAAAAAAAAAATGCAAAATTCACTGCTGATTATTCACCTTATAAACTGGCTTGGTTCATTGAAGCCCTGCTGATTTACATCAGCTGAAGTATGTGGCTATTATGACCTACTGCAATAGCCATAAGAAAATATAAAACAGTAAAGCATTTTCAACTTTTAAGCTATGCTTCCAAGCTAGTCTTCACTTTATGGAGCAAGAATATAAATATGTAAACAAAATTAAGGAAAACACCATTACATTAAGAAGATACATATCTATCTATGATCCTTTCTGTTTAGATGCTATAGGGAGCAAGTTTGTGTTTTTTCTTAATGTATCATGGCATTCAGATCAACCCAGCATACTGAACTTCACAGCAAGATTTTCAAATTTTCCAGCAATCTTCTTTTGCATTTTAATAATTATTTGATTATTTCTGTCCTTGCAAATGCAGAAGAACTTTGAAGAATTGCGTGGACATAGGTACATACAAATAAAACGGAGTTAAAAGGCATCAGCTACATCTTTTTTCTGAGATGTACCGTCAATGAAATTACAGCACCAGTGGGTGGAACACATTCTTTGAAGTGATCAGTAACACACTTGCAAGGTAGCAAAAACTGCTCTGCCTCAAATGGACATAAGAAGTAGGTATCATTCTTGTGGAATATTAGAAGAAATTAACTCAAATATTCATACTGAAGGTGTTTAAAAACATAGTACAATCTGATTCAAACACACATTCCTCTCCCCCCAGCCAATCAAAAAAACTCAAAATCTCTCCTATATGTCTTTTCACAATATATACATATACAAAACTTTCCCTGTTTTTCAAAGACACAACATCCTCAGGCTGTATTTATAGTATCTTTTGCCTAAAAATTTAATCAATAGGGAACTTAATAATTTTTACAGGATAGGTGAGGAGGGGCAAGAAGACGTGAAATGATGATGGAAGTCATGCCTTTGTTTTATTTCATTAAAAAAGCATAGAAAGTCCTGTTTCCCCGAAAAAAAATGGAACAGGAGGATACTCTTCCTCTAGGACTTATTCCAAGTACTCCACCCAGAAGTTCTCAGCTTTCTCAGCATTTTGCTGTATATGTTCCCGTTGATGTCTGTGACCTTAGTGTCTGCATTTGTGCACTGCTTCCCACTGCTCCTCTCACCAGTTTTTCCTCAGAAAGAGGAAAGCTCATAATCTAATTCCTGTAAAGCGAATCACAGTCCCTACAGATCCATGCACTGTACATGATGTAAATGTAGATTATTAGCTCATACATAGACAAAATGAATACTGAGGCCCACTGCAGGTTCAATGACTTCTATATGCTATCAGAAAGAATACAAGATGCCCTTTAGTGCTGGTCTACAAACATACACAGCTAAACTCTTACTCTGTATGACAAGCTTCAAAACTGCAGATTCTGGATATAAGTTTTCCCTTACATTTGTGTGGAACTTGCCTGGGATCCTGTAACCAGTGAAGAATCAACTCATTACAATGTCTGCTACTGTCAAGCCTCTTGATTCCGTTTTCTGTGTACAAAACTGCGTACCGCCACCATCTAGCACTACTGCCTGATGTTCTTCTGCACTCTGAGGTCCGAACACACCAGGAGCCCTGTGCTTCACTGTGACTCTCAGTGATACAGTAGCAAGTTGGGTCTGTCTTCTGGGAAGCTACTTGGGGGCTGTATGACCATGGTGTACATAACCTGCACTTGTCTGCCATTTTCTCCACGCTCTCCACTGAATAAAATTCTTCCCCTAGGTTAAGAAGGGATTTCTCAGTCCAAAAATGTGTAACAGTTTGATCAGTATAGCTGAATCTTTCTTTCACTGATACCTGTAGTTATGACCTGATGTTTCTCCACACTCCTTGTAGATTCTGTATCTCAACTTTAAATTCCAGACTAATACCATCTGCTATCATAACTGTGTTATCCAAAAACAATTTTAAATTCCACATGCCAAAAAATTTTTCATCCCATGTATCATAATGCTATTCTCTGGAAGCTTCTCACAGAGCAGATAATTATTCTAGCTACCTCGGTGGATAAACCATAAACATCCATCCTTCTGTAAACTACATGAAAAGAGAATATCAGTATCTTTGGAGGATGTATTTTTTTTTGCCAATATATTTTTCATGGTTCCACTTCATGTTGCACTTGCAACCAGAACTTCATCAAGGTGCTCAATCTGTCCTGTCTTCAAAGTTTCTCTCATACAAATGACAGGGAAGATACTGTGGAGATTTAAGCAACTCTAAATGTCTGGATTTTGTTGAGTGGTGTAAGATATGATCATTATACAAACTTGTGGGCTTTCTGAGTCAATACTTCCATGGAACTGTAAGCTCTAGGATTTGTACTCATGAAGAGAAACAGTTTTCTGAAAGGGTCTTAAAAGTGACAGGTGAAGGGAGAACTCATAAGAACTATTTCCAACACCGAAAATTAAAAACTCTGACTTTTGTTAACTTATACAGCTTTTCAGCTCAAATAATTTTGCAGTGTTGAAATGCATAAATAAATGTTCTCTAATGTCCAGTACAGGTGTCTGTGGAGCTGCAAGTTTCTTGTCTTTAGTGGAAACTCCTCCAGTCTCAGATTGTGTGTGCAAATTAAAAGACTTCTTTTGGAAGCATTTCACTGTCTACTAAGCATTTTTCCTCCTGTTCTGCAGAACAGAATATATGCTTTTGCAGATCCTTTGTGCTAAGAATAACACTGTTAAAAATGTTTCTTCCAAACCCAGGCCATTTACCCTATGTATAGTAGAAGAATCTGTGCAGTACAGGAAAAAGAAATACTGTGGACTGTCTTTTCCACTAGCTACTCAACTGTTCCTGTCCCAGCCAAAGAACTGTTGCTCTGAATTGCCTCCTAAGTTTTTCTGGTAGTACTTTTTCCCCCATCTTTTGGACACTACTTACTTATAACAGTTAAGGTGAAAAGCAAGTAGTACAGCATTGAGGGTACTATTTATTCACTGTAATAAACAATTATTTTAAGATAAGGGTATTGATTTTGGACGGTAATAGCCATAAAAAATATGATGCAGTCATTTCTGAATCACAGCTAAGGGTAAGACCCAAGAACTAGCTGAAAGCACATCTCTTTCTCTACATATTTCTTCAAAACTTATTTCTTCTTTCCTGCCCATGAACAATGAACTAGCTGTTTACATGGCAGGTTTCCATGGTTACAATCTTGCATGGGGCCCACATGGTGCAATCTATATCATTGTTAAATCAAAAAATATCTCCTGCTTCCTTAGCAGAAAGTCCCTACTCTCGCTATTCCTCGTTTAAATCCACAACACGACCTCACAACTCAATCAGTATGAACGTGCAGGTGTTTTTTCCCCGTCCTTTTTTTGCATCAGTTTTCTCCTGGTTTTGTGCTTCTGTCCAGATTATTTGATCATGTTTCTTAATGCTAGCTTGTTTTGGTTTTTTTATCATCTGTTCTTTGTCACTCAGGCCCAGTAAATGATGAAAGCTCTGAACCTGTTTCAAATCACTCTTAACTTTAAAAGCAAAAATGTACCAAGTCTTCAAATAGCATGCAGTCATTAAATTTTTTAATTCTTTTTTTCTTCTTTACTGGAAAGCTACTACCAAGATGCCGATGTCATTATGATAGTTGCCCTGGAGAGCAGAACAACTTGCTGACTGCAAACGAATTATCCACAGATCAGCTTTTCATGGTGATCACAAGTTTAATGGGTATTTTCATAGACTGTATTTGTAGAACAAGCTTTTTGCATTCATTACAGAAATAGCAAAATCCAGTGCAATGGTGAATTTATCTGCTTCTTCAGCTGTTCCAATTCACACTTGAATTCTACAGACTTTTGCACTAGACTACAACTTTGTGCATTTTAGAACCCTCGTAAGTTTTCAAATTCTCTGCTTAATTTTTTAGCATGTCTTGTTCAGTAACTGATCTATGACAGTTCTGCATATTTCATAGAACCAGTTATACATTCTATCAGACCAATTTTAACTACTGCTACTCCTCTGACAGACCTAAACAAAAACTCAGGCCCCTGCTTGTACCTCCAAGGTCTAACTTGCAGTCAGGTGCAATTTACTGAACTATACTGGAAGTCTGATACACAGTAAGATGTCCTGGTGAGTTCTGTACTTTTGAAAAGCATTCTGGAGTCATGTTTTGTGACACTTCTATTTAACTGAATTATTTCCTAATCTTGGTACTTACGTGACTTTTTCCTGTTTTATAAACCATAGTATTTTTACCACTTACAAACAAATAGTAGTTTATCTGATCACAATCTCTTTTTCCATTGTCTTTTAAACATAGAATTGTTCTGGAATTTCAGAGAAGCAGATTCTGCTATAACTGTATCATCTTCTGATTCCTTTTAATAAGAAAATATTCAATCTCTATGGCAAATCTTACAGATCTTCAGAGTCCTTAAAGCAAAGAAAGGTTTCTTTGCTTTACCTTGATTACAAAACCCCATTACTGTCAGCCTCTGTGGAATCTGTGTGTTGTAAGAATGCAAGTGTCCTTGGGTGTCTCTCTCTTCTTCCTCTCTGAAGCTTTCAGCATCCAGTCCTGCTTGGATTGATGGCTGTCCTTGACATATTATATCATGGCCTTATAGTGGACCCAAGCAGCTGAGGCCAAGTATAAATTCTGAAGCACCGACAGAGCTGGGCTACTTAGAAAGGTTACCAGAAGTCTCCTTTCTGTTCCTTTTCCTCACCATACACAGTGTACAATGTTGAAATAAGCTTCCCTGGGATTTTCAGTAGGCATTTCTATTATTTGAGCTAAAAATGTATGTCTACAGGATGCACAAAAAGTAAGAGAATTATAAACAGTCTCCTGATGGGTTCACTTTTAGGTCCAGGTGTTTATTTTGCTTCCACAGTAGTCTATGCTCCTGCTTACTTGCGTGTGCTGGTTTTTCTGCTCAAGTCCTTTCTGAAGGTTATTTTTGTTAATGAC